GTGATCTGATCAGCGAGTTTCTGTAAAGCGGAGCTCACGTGCGCTCGTGGAGGAATGTAGACACTGACAAGAATGAATGAGCAAAACTCCCGCGGCGAGTAGAACGGCTTACAGTTAATGAAGAGCACTTCTAGATCTGAACAGCACATCTTCTTTAACACAGTTACATCTGTACACCACCTCTCATTGATGTAAAAGCATGTCCCGCCGCCGCGGGATTTCCCTGTTGATTCTGTGTCACGATCCGCTCTGAACAGCTGAAAGCCCGGGAGACTCAACGCGCTGTCCGGAATGGCGTCTTTCAGCCAGGTTTCCGTGAAACACAGAGCAGCAGAGTTTGAAAAATCCTTATTTGTCCGGGAGAGCAGAAGGAGTTCATCTGTTTTGTTGGGTAGAGAGCGGAGGTTCGCCAGATGAATGCTAGGCAACGGCGTTTTGAATCCGCGCTGCCTGAGCTTCATGAGGGCGCTGCCTCGCTTCCCCCGTCTGCGTGTCCTGAAGCGCTTGATCAGCGACGCAGCTCCCCCGACTACAATGTCCAGCAAAACATCAGAATAATTGAAAACCGGTGAAATATCGGGAGGAGTGTACTGCCGAATGTCCAGCAATTCGTCTCTGGTGAAACTGATTGCAGGGATATAACTAAAGACAGGACAAACTAACAAAAACACAAAAACAACTGCGGAGCACGCCACGGAGGCAGCCATCAGCGTCGGCGCCATCTTTAACATCTTTAACAATCTTTGATTGCAAAGCCACATTTTCAGCAGCCATTACTCCATTCTACTAAGAAAACCATGTGCTATATAATCCTTAAGAAATCCTTCTAATGTGCTGATTTGGTATTCAAGAGACTTTTCTTCTTATTAGCACAGTTGAAAATGGTTGTGCTGCTTAATGAGGAGCCAAGTCAAGCCACAACTGATCGTCATGGGTCACGTCAAGTCACAGCTGATCTTCCGCCAGACAGAACGAAATAATAATAGTGATGATGATGATGATGATAATAATAATAAAATCAAACTGTTTGTCATTTCTCTTTATTTCTTTTTGTTCATATTTAGATTTGTTGTTAAATCAAACTTGAGTCACTCAAATGAAGAAATATTCCAAGCCCAGATTCGGTATTATTAAAAAATAACTGGTTTGATCTGATCATCTTAAACAAGTCATATCCTCTGGATCTGAGCGCAGTTATTGGATAGCATATTGGAGAAGCTTCAGTAAAAATATTACAATACATTTATAACAGTGTCGTTTTATAACTTCAGCAGCGTGCAGATGCTCGTTAATGTCAGGTCTGCGGCAACAGCAGTGCAGACAATCACTTAGCTCGCTCACATAATGTAATCTATAAAGGAAAATCATATTGTTTTTTATCATACTGTTTCATTGTTTGTTGGCAAAAAGTATGCTAAAGACGTGGAATCGGCCTATGTTCATTGTTAGTAGAGATGAAAATATACAAAAAGCTACTTTGTACATAAATATTTCCTAGCAGTTCACAGGCACTTCTTCCGCTAAAACGATCTGTGGTAAATTAGTCTGGTCTGGTTCTGTTCATCATTGATTGGGTGAGAGCAGTTCAATATTACTGGCTGTGGAAATCAGCGGGCGTGGCTCATTATACTACAAGGAAAACGCCGTAAATAACGCGCGCTTTTGTGCAATCAGAACGGCGTTTTTTACGGCATCCTGTGGCAAGCCGGATGGCGTTAAAAGCGGCGCTTTTTACAAACACTAAAACGCCGTTAAATACGGCGTTTTTTACGGTTTATGTGCGTTTTTTACGGCGTCTGCTATCAGGACGGCGTATTTGACGCCGTAATAATATTGTTTATATTGTTTAACTAATATTGTTTAAAACGCCGTCAAATACGGAGTTTTGTATGTAAACGCAATTCATCTATAGCGTAAATATGAATCTCTTGGCTTGCCATACCGCGGCTCTGCAGCGCGCGCTGTATGAAGCAGACGCTTTGGAGCAGCTTAGACCCAGTGTTGCCAATTTAGCTACTTTGTAGCTAGATTTAGTGACTTCCCCGCCCCTTTTGAGACTTTTTTCAAAAGTTTAGGGACAAATATAGCAACTTCTTGGACAAACCTTATCTAAGTTCTCATCTTGCCCACTGATCTACATTCATCTTTATATAGATCAGT